AAACTGTAGAGTCCTGACCTGTCAATGAGTGTAAACTGCAGAGTCCTGACCTGTAGATGAGTGTAAACTGTAGAGTCCTGACCTGTCAATGAGTGTAAACTGCAGAGTCCTGACCTGTAGATGAGTGTAAACTGTAGAGTCCTGACCTGTAAATGTGTGTAAACTGCAGAGTCCTGACCTGTAGATGAGTGTAAACTGTAGAGTCCTGACTTGTAGATGAGTGTAAACTGCAGAGTCCTGACCTGATGATGTAGATCGTCTGTGCTGGATCATTCTTTTGAACAGTGGCTGTTTTGTTTCCCCAATGTATGACTGATCACAGTCCTCCTGACACTTAACAGCATGCACTATATTACTCTGTTTTTGCTGGGGAACTGGATCTTTGGGGTGAACTAATCTTTGTCGCAATGTGTTTTGGGGTTTGAAAGCCACTGGGACCTCATGTTTACAGAATAAACGTCTCAGTTTCTCTGATACTCCCACCACATATGGAATGACGACTGGTTTGGGTCTGGGTTTATGGTCTTCATTTTCAGCTGGTTGTTGGCTGGAATCCTGTTTGGGTTTCTTGTCTGCTTTCAGAATAACAACAACTAAATAACTGCAACAACAACAAATGTAATGGAGCACAATGTGTACGCATGACACCCCCTTAATATTTCTGTCTGCCCCCTCAAGTATACATTCCTAGAACCGGCCATGGACTGGATAGCCCTTAATGCAACCAAGACACCCCCACAGAATGCCTCAAGGCACACAGACATAAACCTTCTCCAGGTCCACAATACACATGTAGACCGGAGAGGCAAACTCCCAAGTTCCTCTTGGCAACTCCACAAGGGTAAAGGTCTGGTCCACTGTTCCACAAAGCCACGCTGCTCCTCTTGAATCTGAGGTTTGAAAATGAATCAGAGCCTCCCTTCGAACACCCTGGAGTAAACTTTCCTGGGGAAGGCAAGAAGTGTGATCTCACAATACATCTGTTATGAATTAATCTCAAAAGAATTCATAATGAAGGTTTAAATACATATCAAGTGGAGCATCATGGTGAAATGTCATTATGTTGCACTTGTGAAAGTAAAATGTTGGGCTTCATTTGGACACTAAGACATCAATTCTGAGTTTCACATTGCTGGATAGGACACGGTAAAAAAAACCGATCAGGGCCTCCCTTCCAACACCCTGGAGTAAAAATTCCCAGGGAAAGTTAAACTTACAACACACATAACATAAGGTTGTACTTAAAATTTGACCTAAACTTCAACAAGTTTGATATGAAAGAAGGCAGACAATTTGAATTACCGTATTTATTCATGTATAATACGATCGTGAGTATAATACGAACATTATTTTTTTAACTTAAAAAGCATAAAAAATCGAATTACAACCCGTGTATAATACTACCCCCTTACTTCATGGATGATTTTAGGGTTAAATTTCTAGTATGAAACATGAATAAATACAGTACTTCAATAAATGTTAGGTGTTTTATTAGTCCATGGGCTAAGGT